CCAGGCCATATGGGTATCCCTGGTAACGAGANACACAAAAATGGAACATTCTACCAATATGGATCGAGAGTAGGTACCTTTTTTTTACTAAAAAACTCTAAAATTTCATACTTTTCAGTCAAAAGTCAAAGCATAAAAAAGTTACAATAAATTTTACTCCCCTCCTCCCACTGTTGGAAAGTATGTGATGAAAATTTGTAAATTTCGTTTTAGTAGCGAACTGAGCACATAAGAGTTAAGCTAGTTACCAAATTTCATAAATTTATCTCAACTGGTTTCGGAGTCATTTAGAAAAACTCATAATCAGAGTGGCCCCTTTAAGTGGCTATAACTTCCTTAGGAAGAATTTTTGGACTCACGTTATCCTTTTCGACACCCTGTAGAAATATTGCTTCCTAATTTCGGGACATCCTGTATAAGGATCAGTTGTGACATGAAAATCATATTGTTGGACGTCGACAGTAGATTCCACAGCGTTTTTGGACATTAGAATATCTCTGGTATAATTCCTTCACACATCCTTTTTTCTTTACAGATGTCGGAAAACTATGTGTTTAAGAAGTTTCTAAAGTCTAGTGAGTAGACATCTTAACATTCAGTGCTGATAGATATTTATAATATACAAATATTTTAATTTTAGAGATATAAATACAGTCCAACTTACAGATTCACATTTTGGAGGCAGAGTGGAACCAATTGCATTTATTTTAACCACAATAAACAATTAATATAAGAGGATTCATAAAACAAAGAGTGATTTTCCGATGTTCCGGGTTTTTGCCTATTTTATGGAAACACAATTTCAAAATAGTTTACCAAATTTTATAATGATGGAACTGATCCTTTTGGCACAAGGGTTTCATTATTTTTTAAAATATTTTTCGTAGGTGGCAGAATATCATAATATAAAGAAATTCAGACAAATGTTTTTTTAGACAAATAAAATAATGTTCTATATTAAATGGTGCCAATAAATATAGACGTTTTGAGTACAAATAATTGTATATGACTGCTTTTTTTTTTTAAGAAAAATTTTGAATATTACGAAGAAATTACTTGGTATTTTTATTAACTTACTGAATAATGGAGGGTATATGAATGAACTAAAATTAAAATATCAATAATACGAGCAATTGAAGTTGCAAGACCGTTACTGAAGTTCAGTCGGAGAAATATTAGAAATTTCTATTAATTAGTTGATTGATGAAAACTAATTTTTTTTTTTTGACGATACCAATATTAATAGTTTATTTCTGTTTATTTAGAGATATGCTTGTTATACTTAAAGTTAATAATTTTTATTGTATTTCATTTTGAACTAATAGCTATATGCCAAAAATTGACGAAAGTTACCGTTTTATTTAAAAAATAAGTGTAGGTACACCTAAAAATGAATCATATTATCAGGTAATAATGAGATAAAGAAGATGTAATGTTTATTTTTAAGGCGCTTAAGTGGTTACAGGTATAATTGATTACAAATCTAGAAAATTCCATAAAGAAGCAAAATTAGACACAACACCAAAGTAGCTTTTATAGCATAATTTAGAAGCAATTGTCACATAAGATATGTACCAATGGTGCACATTTCTTTTACGATTTAGTTACTGTTAACAAAATTATAATTTAAAGTACGATGCTTTTTCGAGTTATGCCGAGGTTACTGCCATTTACAGAATTACCTTTCATTTCCCCAGCTAGGGGAATCTGCCCTTGTTGCTCGCGGGTTCTAGTCTATAGAAGCGGACCAGTTATTAGAATCTCTAATTTCTCTTTATCAGCTGATAAAGAGAAATTACCTGTTTTGTTACTTACGTCGCATGTCTATAAAAACTGAAGGAACTAGTGACTTGCCACAGACTTTTCTTTTTCTTCAGTAAATAAATTTTATTTTCTCTTCAATTGTTGCAACAACATGATTGTTTCTATTTTATTCAATTAAATACGAAAATCTTTTTTACGTACTGTTTTTTGTTGGAGATGGTTTTATGTGTGATTCGGTTTATTCGAAAGACTCGACCTAGAAACAAGTGCGTGTTTGATTCCTATTCCAACTCAATAATAAATAGACAGCCGCTTCAAATTCAGGACATCAGAAGGGCCCCTCAAGAACCTAGTGAATTTCAACAGTAGTAAGCCATCTCCAACCCTTTTATTTGCTTATCTAACCGTTCATACAGTTCACCACTCTTAATAACGGTGGCGTTAAATTTCAATAGGTTTTATAAAAGCTTTCACATTTTACATATTGTACGCTGATTTTCAATTTTATTTTTAGAACACGAATTTCAAAGAAAACTTCTTTGAAATTCGTCTTCTTTCTTCTTTCATAATTATTATGTTACAGATTTAGGGAATATTTTAGTGCCTTGATACAATATTGCTTTTCCTTTTTTTATCAAATAATTTCTTCAAGGACCTAGATGTTATGCAACATTGTAACAACAAAAATAAGGTGCTTTATCGACTTTGACAACAACTGATATCTAACGTCTTCATTGTATACTTTCTTCATTCCATTATGATAACAAAACAAATATTTTGTTTAGTAATTGCGAGTAGGTATAAGTTAATCACAATCAAACTGCTTTTGACCAGATTGCACCTAATAGAAAATGCGCAGCATATACAGGGTGTTAATGAATAGGTGTTACAAACGGATATGGTATGTAAAAAATCCAAAAATAAGTGCAGTTTACTTAATAAACATATGTCCTAAAGCGGCTCATTTTCGAGATACAGGGCGTTGAAATTTAAAAATAATAAACTATTTTTTCCTGTAGCTCCGGTATTAGTTAATATTTCTTTATCAAACTCAACAGACAGATTTACTAGCTTAAAGGATGCATAAATATGGCAGAAACCATTTATTGGCTTCTTCTAGTGGCGTGCGATAGGTGTCGTTTCACCTTTTATCCCCCCTAAATTGTGCGGCACTGTACAAATATTAGTTTTTCGTATGTTTTTGAATTTGCTAGTATTTTTTACGTAAATAATGTATACTTGTTAGACTTCCATAAAATGAGTATTATCAAGTTATTAACATTTACATTACTGAGGTCACCTTATGCTCCAAAAACTATGTTTTTCTATGCTATGCTAGTTTTCGAGATACAAAAAGTTAAAGTTGTTTAAAAGGTATTTTTATTTTGCACAAAAAAATTACAGTAAATGCTCAAAATTACGGCCACCAGTAGCGATACAAGCGTTAATTCTTCGAAGCATATTTGTGTACATTCGGTCAAAAGTGCCAGGCGTCGTTTCGATCTCCTGCGCTGCAGCTAGAATGCGTGCTACCAAATCTTCTTCTGACTCAACAGGAGTTTCATAAACTAGACTCTTCATATGGCCCCACAAATAAAAGTCAAGCGGGGTCATGTCTGGGGAACGTGGTGGCCACGCCATAGGTCCTCCACGGCCAATCCATCTTACACCGAATTGTTGATTAAGGTGATCTCGGACAACAAGCGAAAAGTGCGCTGGCGCACCATCATGCTGCAGCCACATTTCCTGTCGAATGTTCAATGGCACATTTTCTAATAATTCTGGAAGTACTTGTTGTAGGAACGTTAAATAAATAGGACCTGTAAGACGATTTGGAAGAAGGTGCGGACCAATTAAGCGCCCGTCAATTATACCAGCCCAGACATTGACGCCAAACTTCTGCTGAAATCTAGTGGAGCGAATGGTGTGAGGGTTTTCTTCAGCCCAGACATGGTTGTTGCGAGAATTAAAGATCCCTTCTCGTGTGAAGGATGCTTCGTCTGTAAAAAGCACAAACCGCGGAAAATTTGCTTGCAACTGACACTGTTGAAGAAACCAATGGCAAAAGTTTAGTCGTGGCTGAAAGTCGGCGGGAGTTAAAGCTTGAACCTTTTGTATATGATAAGCGTGAAGCTGTTGCTCGCGTAAAACTTGCCAAACGCTTACATGGTTTACATGCATATTCTGAGCAATACTTCGACTGCTGGTGGATTGGTTTTCTTCTATCCTATTAAGAACTTCTTCTTCGAACCTTATCGTTCTGCGGTTTCTCCTTACCCCGCAGTTAACCCTATTTGTTGTAAAAGTTCCTGTTTCCTGCAACCTGCGAAACACTCTTCCAAATATCTTATGTGAAGGGGTTGGACGATTTGGAAATCGGATTGAGTATAACCGACGGGCAGCCCTGCCATTACAACGCGCTTGACCGTACATTAATATCATGTTTGCATAATCAGCAGAAGTATATTCATTCATGATGTATGAATGTTTTAAACGAATGGATAAAGATATCTATCTAATAATTAAAACTTACAAACTAAACTTTACACTAAAATAACAATAATAATTAAAAACTGCCTCGTTTCACAATCGAAAATAATTTGACATTAAAATACAAGTAATGTCAACGGCAAATGTTTTTTTTCCAACATTTTAAACTTGCTTGAGGAATACGGAAACCTTGAATGTTTTGTATCTCAAAAAGAAAAAGCGACACATGTATGCATTTACTAAACAATTTCGTGAAAAATTTACTCAACATGTCACTTTTTAAAAATTTTTGGTTTTTGGAGCATAAGGTGACCTCAGTAATGTAAATGTTAATAACTTGATAATTACTCATTTTATGGAAGTCTAACAAGTATACATTATTTACGTAAAAAATACTAGCAAATTCAAAAACATACGAAAAACTAATATTTGTACAGTGCCGCACAATTTAGGGGGGATAAAAGGTGAAACGACACCTATCGCACGCCACTAGAAGAAGCCAATAAATGGTTTCTGCCATATTTATGCATCCTTTAAGCTAGTAAATCTGTCTGTTGAGTTTGATAAAGAAATATTAACTAATACCGGAGCTACAGGAAAAAATAGTTTATTATTTTTAAATTTCAACGCCCTGTATCTCGAAAATGAGCCGCTTTAGGATATGTGTTTATTAAGTAAACTGCACTTATTTTTGGATTTTTTACATACCATACCCGTTTGTAACACCTATTCATTAACACCCTGTATAAAAGCAATATAAATGATACAGTTTATTTCTCAAGATACATTAGTAATTAACCAATGGAGGTATAGCGTACACGTCTATAATTCTTTCTCGTTTGAGGTAGTCTCTTGGATTCGTCTGCATTTCAAGTGTATCGTTGATGTTCAAATACACCAAATTATTTGGACTAACTTTCTCCCACGTCACGTTACCCATTAAACTGTCCACTTCTGGAGTTGGGTTTCTAAAGTAAATCATGCATAAATATTATTTCATGCGATTCTGATCATAAGTACTCACAGGTATTTGACAAAGTTTGACCATAGGGTTAACAAACGGTGACGTGTCTTAACATCTTCTGAATCATCAGGAGATACATAAGGATATCCATAAGGAGATCCATAAGGAAATCCATAAGGAGATCCATTAGGAGATCCATAAGAAAGGTGCGCGTCCCATAAATAACACAATTCTTCAGCGTGACCAACACCTCGAACACCTGAAATCAGATTATGTGGTAGCTTGCAGATATTCATTGTTAATATAGAAAATATTGACCGTGTATGTGACTGATTTTTGAATTCGAATGGAGTCTTTATTTTTAGACATCGTTGCACAAATTCATGAATTCTTCACAGTTTCCTTCCATCCATGAATTATAAGGGATGAAAAGACAAATTTTACTTAAACCATTAATAATAAATACCATGTCCAATTTAAAATCATCTTTCTATATGACAATCTTTATTTATTTATTTGTCTTATACATGGTGTTGCATGACGTACTGAACATATTGAAGATAGAAGTTCCTGAGGTCACGCTGAATAAAAAAGTTACATGGGATCAATTCTCCAGGGTTGTCGAGTTTTAGTCTTTTGAAATTTATAAATAAGTAGGTACTTATCTTACTTAATCTCCGGGTCGTTCCATATAGTATACGTACGTTTCTCCCTGGTCGGCGTGTATACCCATCAGATCGAGAAGCGTTGTATACTGAGAGTCCGACAACATCGGTCACCAGGACGTATAAAATTAGAGGCCAGTACGAATTGTAAGGCGAAATACTTCGGATCCCGTTTTACCATCCTATTTTTCCGCCTTGCACCGCCTGGGTTTTCTTCGCTGGTTATTGCTACCGCTTACTGCTTACCGCTTACCGCATACTAATTTTGCATTGCTTGCTAGGACGTAATACCGATATTTGACCGCCGACCTGTTTAAAATAACTCCGAAATAATTCCGAATAAATTTTGATTTATTTTCAGAATCAGCGGGGACCAGTAAAAACGTCTGCAAATAATTTACTATCTTTCTTTTTCAGACCGTTTAAATTCACCATGTTCTTTGTTACTTAAAAACCGTCTACTATTGTAGAGTAATAAATATTTTGTTTTTGAGTCCGTTCGTAAATATTTACTTCTTTTCAAAGGTGATAAATAAAATTGTAAAAACCAAGAATTACAACGTTTTAGTTTTGTCTCTTTAACACCGATTTTATATATAATTATTGTTTGATAAATTTGTAAATAGTTTGTCACTTAGTAGTGGGTAGGAATAAAATTTACACAATTTGTATTTGTACTAGGTATTAATATTTTCCCTTTTGAATAAATCTAGTAAAACTTAATAGGTTTATTTCTTTCACCGTCGAGGTAAAACGATAACATTCCGAAACCACAAAAACGCTGATATCGTTTTGTAGAGCTCCCGTTAAATTTCATATTTAAAATAAAACTACACTGAGAAAACTACTCTCTGCCGTACTCTCTGCCGTTTTCTCCTAAAAGAAATTCATTTGACCCCTGGAATTTATTTTCTTCACTGTAGCTACCTGTGCACTTTACTCTAAACCGAGGGTAAGGGTTACGTGGAGTTTCCCCCACGTAAAATTTAGGGAAACTGGCGCCCGAGATTAAAACCGACTATATAAGTTATTAACTAACATTACCGTTTAGAGTCCAGTCCGAGGAATAGAAAACCTTTCCGAAAAATTAAATTACAGGGGGTGTACACACCATAGTTAAAAGTAATAAAAATTTACACCGAACGATCCACAGAGAGAGAACCGAGGAAAAGTGCGTCACAACCTACTAACATAACTTTCCAGCTTTCATTAGGATACTCTTTCATTAGTCGAATAAAATGAGCAGGAGCTAAATCATGTTGTAATATCATTTGTAATCTTGTAAATATAGGAATATCTTCCAATAGACCTGGCAATTGATTATGTAAAATGTTGGTGTAAACTTATCCTATATTGCGCTCTTCAAAAAAGAAGGGTCCAATTATTTGATTATCAATTATTATGAGGAAAACCTGGGACAACTATTTGCCTAAGGAATAACCCTTCTCGATTGCTCTCTATGTCCTAACGTTACATCGTATAAGTATTTGTTAACATTGCTTGAATACAGAAAGCTTACCTGCAATTTCTAAATCCTTCATACCTCCCATATTGCCTTGGTATGAAAACTGGTACATATAAACGTCGGTATAGTTGGATTGTAACTTTGCATGCCTAATAGATGCGGTTATAAACGACTCATCACTATAAAACTAAAGGAAAGTTTTATTATATTATCAATCATTCGTTTCAATTATTTGTATGCTCTTTAAACGTTGAAAAGGTTAATATGCAGCGACACATTGTGAAAACAAGTTCTTTTTTGTAAGATAGTTTGAGAAAACGATTTGAAGTTGTGATTTTTCTTTCGTTTTTAGATGTCACTTTAACGGAACATGGTAAAACGAAATTACTGTAATTTCTGGCAGGCTTCTCATTTTTTTTTTTGGAAGTAAATTTTTTTTTTCGTTATTGAGGAATGTTTCCTTCTAAACAATGTAGTAACAATTTCAACAAACACATGAAAAGCAGCTTAAACAATATATGGATGTTACCTTCACTACTTGCCCAGGATCTTCTTCGAATGTTCCATCGGTGTAAATTTGTCTCAGTCTAGAGCCAACTGTCAGTTTGTTCTCTTTGGTCATATTGAACTTGTTCCTAATGAGGTTGGATAAATCACTGTCGAAATATTTCGCACGCGCCTCAACCTCTGAAGGATCTTAAAAAAACGGTTGACATTTGTATCAAATAATAAGACATTTGAATAAGTCTTCGTAATCTTACCACTTTTCAAAAAAAATAGTGCCTCTTCAGAGTTAAAGCCAATAATTATGGGAATTTGGTTTATGTTTCCTGTTCTAATATCTTCATGAAATAAACCCGTGAGGAGTGCTCCATCTAGACTAGCGTCCTCAATTACAGGCAGCCATATTAAACCTTGGCCTTCCATTAACTCAGACTCTTTTCCAACAGCAGCCTATGCAAATTTTGGTTTTAGTGTATGATCTATATTTGGTATTTAACTTCTCATCACCAATTCATTCAACTTACAGTAACTGAGTTGTCGTTTATGTCGGAAGCAGGAAGGCTTTGCAACAGTTGCAGTAATTCCGTTGAATTATCCGAAGTGAAACTTGGAACCAAACTTCGAGCTAATTCGAAAGCGTAGAATCTTGCATAGTCTTGATGTGCCCACTGACTCATTGAGGTACCACTTTGTAAAATCGCACCTCTGAATAAGCCTTTATTCCGTTGACTTACTAACTGTAATCCCACAGATGCTCCTCCGGCACTCTCACCAGATATCGTAATTTTTTCGGGGTCCCCACCAAATAAATCGATATTATTTTTAACCCACTGAATGGCAAAATGTTGATCTTTTAATCCCAAGTTTCCTGGTATGACTCCGTCTTCTGTTGTCAGAAATCCTGAAAGAATATGAATTGAGACTTTGGAATAAATTGGGAATAAGATTATCTAATTATATTATGTTAATGAAATAATGAAAAAGAACATTAAAAGATATAAAAGAAGAAATTAAAAAAAATAGAAAGCTATAAAAAATAAATATGTGGAAATTAAAATCAAAAGTAAATAAATAAAAAAGTGCTACAATTTTTAATGAAGTAACATTCGAGAAATGACCTACAAGGACTCACTCAGGGATTTACTGTTAAATACAGGGTGTCTCATAATTAACTGCCAACCCTGAACAGGCCGATTCTATGATCAAAACTAAGTAAAAAAGTTCATATGAACATGGGTCCGGAAATGCTTCCTAAGGGCACAGGGACCCATTGAAGAGGGAGGAATGGAAATCATTTTTTTGCAATATCTCTCAATCGCGTTGTGATAAATGAATGAAATTTGGTATACACAGCTAAATTTTGATGAGCAATTTGATGGACTAATCCAATTATTTCCACAAGGTCCATTGGGGTGGGTACGGGGGGACCCTTGGTACCTTGCGTGTGTTACTTTTTCATCTTTGACTTTTTAACTAATTGGACAGCAAATTCCGTTTTCCCGAACTGTTTTACGTTAAAAAGGTACTCTTGTTTCAAATCGTTATCTTTAACGGTTTCTGAGAAAATCGCTCTTGAATTAATCCCACTTTGGTCAATTTCATAGTAATTTAAACAAAAAATAATAATAATAATTTTCCTTTCCTCTCTTTTCCATTTAAAGGATTAATTTTTATTTAATTTAATTTTTTATTATTATTTTTTTATTAAAATTAGATTAAATTTAAACAAAAAAATTTTTTTTGTTAAATTACTATGAAATTGACCAAAGTGGGATTAATTCAAGAGCGATTTTCTCAGAAACCGTTAAAGATAACGATTTGAAACAAGAGTACCTTTTTAACGTAAAACAGTTCGGGAAAACGGAATTTGCTGTCCAATTTGTTAAAAAGTCAAAGATGAAAAAGTTACACACGCAAAGTACCAAGGGCCCCCCCGTACCCACCCCAATGGACCTTGTGGAAATAAATGGATTAGTCCATCAAATTGCTCATCAAAATTTAGCTGTGTATACCAAATTTCATTCATTTATCACAACGCGATTGAGAGATATTGCAAAAAAATGATTTCCATTCCTCCCTCTTCAATGGGTCCCTGTGCCCTTAGGAAGCATTTCCGGACCCATGTTCATATGAACTTTTTACTGAGTTTTGATCATAGAATCGGCCTGTTCAGGGTTGGCAGCTAATTATGAGACACCCTATATATCACTGAGGAGAACATTTTAAACTGTTCGTACTCGGTATTGGTAAATAAATGACATTGCAATGACTGGTTTATTCAAGGTACATAAAAATTTAGATTTGATAAAATTTCAGCTTTCAGTACTTTCAATTTAATTTTATATAATTCCATAATAAACATTTCACATATATTTGTAACCTATGTCATTAAGAAAAAAACGGAATAGCAAGTTTCCTAATATTTTCTAATACATATCCTTGTGGTATACACGACGTTGCAATATATTAAAATGATAATTATTTGAGATAAAGTTACCAGAGGGTTAGAGAAACCAAAATTTGAGAGCTTATTGAGCAAAAGATCTAAATTATCAAATGCTGTAGTGAAATCAAGATATATTGTATTCGTTGAAGAAATTTGGCTCAAATTGAATCTCAAACATAAAATTTGTTTGTCTCTTTACCTTTGTAAAAATCGTGCCAAAAGGAGAACTTAGATTTTTTTATAAAGAAAACATTGAATCATGATTTAAAAATTCAAATATTTTATAATCATTGTACCGAGAGATCCAGAATGATTGAAGTGTTTGGAGATCACAGCCTGTGCCTGTCTCTGTCAATACTACAGATTTTCATATTATGCTAAAGATGGTGTTAGAAACAGGCTGCGTTCCCCAAACGCTTCAATCATTCTGGATCTCTCTCAATATGATTGTCATCGGATTATATAGTTTACTTACATCAGTTTGTATCTACTGAATTCGGATATAAATATGTGTGCCAGTGGCGGAGATACTGGGGATTACTTACACCAAAAACCTTAGAAATTGGACGCTTGTAAAAATCGTGCCAAAAGGAGAAATTAGATTTTTTAATAAAGAAAACGTTGAATCATAAATTAAAAATTCAAATATGTATCTTATAATCATTTGTACATGATTGACACCGGTCTATACTCGTATATATGTAGTTACTTACATCAAGTTTGTATCTGCTAAATTTTTATATAAATAGTGAATGTTTATTTGAGTATTATTTATTGTTAAAGAATGGAAAACGTTAACATTTATTCAAATGCTGATATTCTAAATTTATTTTTTATTTATGGAGAGTATCACAAGATAATAAATACATCTTGCAGAGTATCTAATGAGAGTGCACTCATGACTACCAATCAGTAGGGATAAATTAAAAATAATTTTAATAAAATAACAGAATTAAACTACGTAATACGAATAATAATTATTTTCAGAAATCTAATTAATTTACTCGAAGTGACCGCCATCTACTTGTAAACAGTTGTGTATCCTTCTTGTTACCCCATCTGTAATAGCTCCGGATATTTTGGCAGCAGGTAAAGTTTCAAAGGCTTATACTATACTCTTGTGTTTTTTCTAACGTGCTATAGAATTTTACTTTCAACAATTTCTCTATCTTTTAATTGTTCATCTAAATCATCCAAGTATTCAATTTCATCTTGAGAATCACTATATATTTCTGTTCTCATTCTTTGAAATATAAAATTTTATATTGTAAAATTATTAACGGATTTATTTACAAATTTCTCAATACGCGTTATAGATGATTTAGCAATAGTCCAGGAAAATTAGACGAAAATAGGGCCGAACTTCGGAATTGCATATAGAAGGTTCGATTTCGAAGGGACAAAGTGCGTTCTCTGCGTAATTGCATGTACATCAAAGTCTACAACGTCTCATGCGGCGCTAATTTGTTTATTTATAAATAATCAATTATTATTAACAAATAATCGTATTTCGGATATTACGTGGGGTGGAAACGGCCAATCTTGATGCGGTAAAGCTTATTCTTCTTCTTATTAGTTGTACTTTAACTGTAAAGGACCCCCACCGATCAATACCGATAGCGATATTTGTTTATCGGTTTTTATTTGATTGTTATAAACAAATTAGACGTGATATCTGCGGTAGGGAGTAGGACTAGCCGATTTGGACGGGATGAACGTGGTTTTATATAGAAAGTTCAAGACCCTAACGCAGGAAGTGAATTCTCAAAAAACTGAAGACCATATAGAACATGAATCATTATGAATAAATGTTATCCACTTCTCTTTAATTAAAAATTATCCATTCTAAGTCTTAGTTACAGATTACACGTGTAATTTTTTTATAATGATTAATTAGTAAAAAGAAACAAATGAAGATCATTTGGAACTTAACGGTTTTGGAATATCCCGGATGATGATCAAAGTGACTTATTCCATAAAAATCAGACTTTTCTCGTCCAGCTCAGAGATAACAGCCCGAATTTGTATATACTAATTCATTGAAGATCATTGAACAAATGAAAATCAGTCTTGTAATCCAAGTACGAGAAGAGCGTCGATTACCGCGTGAAAATCCCCCTCTCCCAGTCCGATTGCCTAATTTGCTCTTAATGATTGAATAAAAATCAATAAACAAATGAAGATCGGTGGGAGTCTCCCAAAGTTAAGGTACAACTAATCAGAAGAAGAATGGGCTCTACCGCATCAAAATTGGCCTTTTCCAACCCACGTAATATCCGAAATACGCTAATTTGTTAATAATAATTGATTATTAATAAATAAACAAATTAGCGCCGCATGAGACGTTGTAGACTTTGACCTACATGCAATTACGAAGAGAACGCACTTTGTCTCATCAAAATCGAACCTTCTTTATCCAATTCCGAGGTGAAATGCTAATTTTCCTGGACTA